TTATGACGTTTAGCCATGTTGAGGAGCTCCGCTTTTAACATGGTCGAAGGAATAGCTTTCATTTTTAAACACTCAGTAATATCTGCTTTCTTTCAACAGGACGTCTGCAGCTGCTGGACTCGTATACTGTGGTAACTCGTGTTATCCATTACTATTACGGATCCCTGCGGAAGTTTTACAAGCATGTTTTAAAACCATTCTTCGAATACTGTGGCATCCATTTCTTAATGATTATCCCCATTTTTTTCGATTCAAACACCATCAATCCATCTTTCACGAATCCTTCACTGATGCCTATGTGAGTGATAATAAGACGACGACTTTTTCCAACTGGAATTTTCAAACCAGTGAACCAACCTTCCATAAAGGCTTGTCTTCCACTTTTGATGTTCCGATCTTGCCAAACCTTCGAGGCGGTATGGCCCTCATACATGCTCTTTCTATCTTGCTTTCCAAAAGTGAAATTCAGCCCATGTAATATCTTCCATAATCGAGTTCTTATATCAGGAAAAAAACTTTATTTAATGTAGGTATTTCGTTTTTTATGAAAAAAAGTATACAGTTACCCTAATAGAATACTTCACTTCTTCATCGATAACCAAACTCTTTCTACCAGTGGATACTTTCGGCTCGAAAAAGTTGTTGTTCTCCTTGAGTTCCTTGAGAACTCTGAAAATTATCGATCTATTGACAACGGTCATACTTGTGCATTTTTGCACTACTTCCTCCTTACTTTTTATTTCGGGCGGATACATTGTATTCTTAATTATAAACATTCATAACAATTGTTTTTTATTTATATTTAATGGTGACAATTTCGGACGCTTCACGATTCCCGAACAACTAGCTTCCATGTTGTATAGTTGTTTATTCAACGCGCTCTCGAAGTAAACTGAAGAATATCACGAATACCCCACTAAAAAGCCAAGTCTGTCTTGTTGATGGGTGCGATGTGTCTGTTGACAGTATAATTCAAAGGAATATATATTTATACCGCCTTCAAAAACACAATGTTTTTTCAATCCCCTTCAACTAAATACCTATTTGTTGAAGAATGTCTTGGTTACTACTGGACATATTTTAACATTTGTCATAGTAGATTTGTTATTTTGTTTGTTATGAATATTTTTCAAAAATAAATATTGTATTTTCGTCGTATAAATTCATTTATTCAATTCGTTGAGAGTAAATAATCTGAATGCAGTACGCCTATAGTCGATTCGCACTTTTCCTCCCAAATGAATAATAAAAGATATGCACTATTTCCCAAGAAAACCGCAACAGCTGGACTCATACGGTTATTCCTTTAGATGGCGTGATAGTCATTGTTCTTCGGAACAGGTGCGCGGACAGTTTCTGATGAATACTTGGAAGTTGTTACGGACGGTCCGCGGCACTTCGGGAATTTCAAGTAGAAAAGTGTAATATTTAGAGTTATTGCAGTAAGGCTGAGTACTTTTTTCTAAAAAAAGTGTAATATTTTGAGTTGTTACCCTATTCTTCACGATATTTTGCTTATATTACCAATTTCGCACCGCCGAAAAGTGTTGTATTTACAGTTACTGCTATTTTCTTGGGTAAGTATTGAAAAAAACATTATTCAACTCCATTAGAATAATGTAATATTTGCACCTATTGCCGTTTTCTTCGAAACTATCTGATATAATTATGTTTTATTTCAAATAAAATCGTCCGTGTTAAAATATTCATTATTTTTAACATTTTTATAGTTTCATAATAAACCTATGATCAATCGTGATTATTGTTTCAAAATGTTATTTTTTTCTTGTTAATTGTATGTTCTATTTCTCAGATAGAACGAATTCGAGGGCAAGACAAATGGTAGAGACCGCCTTGCTCAATAATAAGGACGAAGAAAAGACAGTTCCTATTTCGCACATCTCTATCAATTCTCATTTGGACATGGGGAAAAATGTAATGGAGGGTGAATATTATTTGGATGAGAGTGCGAAAGGTATTCAATTTATGCAAATATTCAAAAATCTAATGATCCTGAACCTGAAGGTGTTAGAGAAGCAATTGGAGATCTCTCTAGCGATAATCAGTAAAATCTATCCGGAGAACTGAAGGATTTTATAGAAAATGATGACGATCGTGTAAAAGACCAAAATTACGACTCTGATTCTTCAAGTATTGCATCCTCTTCATCAAATAGCAACGTATCTTCATCCAGCAGTTCGTCCTCTTCATCTAGCTCGTCATCTACTCGTGATATTGTAAACTCTGTATGTAGCATACCTTCAGAAGCTATGAACAGACAGATTCTGGATTCAGAAGGAAAATCTTGTGAACCATTACCCGAGTCAGGATCCCGAATTCTTGGTGTGTCAAGAGATGCTGGAGAAAAAAAGGGAAGAAAAAGGGTTCGCAAAGAAACAGAGTGGAAAAAAACAAAAATGTTTCGTAACTTGGGAAAAGAATATGTAGCTTATAATAGTAAACTGATACTCAATGAAAACAAAAAAGAAGATCTTCAGTTTTTGTTCGAAAAAAGATACATTCCAAAATATTATCAAGCAGTTTATGAATCAATATATTGAAAAATTTTCGCATAAACTAACAGATTTTCTATGTTCGTCGAAGTCGTTGCATAATACAAAATATTGAAAACTGTAGTTATTACTTAGTGTTTTTACCTCCAACTTATTTTTTTTATATTTATTGCACTTTTCTCCGGGACGTGCGATATGACAATCGAATCCTATCGAAGTCGATAGGGAATTTGCTATAAAAATATCAAAGCAACGCTACATCTAACTATAACAAGCGCCAAACGTGATCGCAAGCGATCGCACAAGTGTAGACTCTCCCAACTAAATTACCATTGGATTACGATAAGCCCCTTGCCTGCCAGTGTCGTACCTATAATTAGTTTTAATTAGGATAACAAATGGAATATGACTTCTTTGTAACCTCTCTTCATATTTACACATTCATATTTACACTGAAAATAATTGAACACTTTAAAAATTATTTCACGTGCCTAACTCTTGATGACAGAAATAACACAAATTATTCAGTTAATGCCAAACGGCAACAGCATTGGAAGACAAGTAGTGAAACGCTTCTGTACAGAACATTTGTATGTTTCGCAAGAGCTGTAGTGGGGGTTACATTGAAAATGAGTTTGTGAGCATGGGGGCGGGCTCACCATCACGTTTAACGCTTGCTGTAGAACAATCGCGAAGCGCACGTCGGGTTGAGTGCGTTCTTGGCCACGTCACAATTGATTTATGACGACCAGCGGCGGCCATGGTTATTTTTTCAGGGGACGATTTAATCCATATGTTTACACTTTCAGCCGTTTAGCCTGTTTAGTTTGTTGGTTAGAGGCATAAAAGTTAGAAGTGTTTTGCTTGTTCGGCGATATTCTGCTATCGAAAAAAAATGGCTGCAGGAAAAAAGCATTATGTTCACCCCTAACATGATCATATCAAGATTATAGGAGTTGATCAAGGTAAATGAAAGGCATCATATTAGATTTAAATTTAATGAGGTTCTGCTTGAACACAGACATAACGTTTTTCGACTTCCACCCTACCATCCGGATTCGAGTCCCATTGAACTCGTTTGTGCTACTGTCAGAAACAACGTGTCCCAGAAAAATGTGAGGAAACTGGCGGAGCACAAGTTTGATCAAATCACTTCTGAGAAATGACAGAATCGTTGCCGACATGTAGTAAATATAGAGCGAAAATATTGGGAACATGAAACATTCACAGACGTTTAAACAGAGGTAAATCCAGAGATTATAAATTTAAATGACGATAGCATCACAATCAGCAGTGAAGATGAAGAAAATTTGTATTCAGATGGCGATAGATTGAAGTTTATTTTTGGATAAGTCTATTAAATATAACACTTTAATGAAATGTACTACTACCTATAATACTTAATAGAATATCAAAAGAAACTACAAAGAAGTCATGTTCCATTTGTTACACCCTAATTAAAACTAATAATAGGTACGACACTGGCCGACAAGGGGCTTATCATAATCCAATAGTAATTTAGATGAGAGACTATACCTGCGCGATCGCTCGCCATCAGCCGTGTAGTGTACTGTAGATAACTCAGGGATAGGTTACTGAACCAGTCATAGTTGCTTCTGATACATTTCCTAATTCGAGTTAAGAATGTACGGTATTGAAAATGGAAGTAACTTGGTTAGAAATATTGTAATTTGTATTTTTTGTGAATTTTTTAATTGTTCAATTTTCAATTGTTGCTTGCATTCTATTTTATTTTAACTTAATTTCAGAGTTTTTTTGCTTAATATAATTGTTAATTTCAGCTATTCATTTCAATTTTATTGATTCCTTCAGGGATTTCAAACCACTTCATATCATATTACACAATGGAAGTCCAAACTAATGAACTAATGGAATTCAGGGAAACTTTTTCCAAAGAATAAAACAACATAAGGAGTAGTTTCTTGAGTATGCAGACCAATTTTCTATATTTGAAATCTTCTTTCGAAGAGACAGGTTTGAAACGCAATATTTTGAAGCGCTTAGAAATCAGTAGATTTAAAAATTCTGATAATTTACTGAATGACCACATAGAATCGAATATTTCTCATGAAACTCTCTTTCTGAAACTCATTTCTGATTTGGTAGATAGCTTATTACATGTTCACTTGAATTTTCAGTTTTTACCTAAGTACAAATAAAATTGTCAGTCACAAATTATTATATTGTACATGTCCATTCAATGAATTGGAATAATTTACTCAGGTAGAGTTATTAGCCATCGCATAGGTAGAAAGTCACATGATTAAAATTGTTAGTAAATAATACATATATTGAGTAGAATTCAGTTAGTATGAAAATGCCTAATGAAGCAATTGTATAGCGAAAAGCATGTTGCGATTTTGTAAACTATCTATTAGTGGAAATCTCACGATAAGGTGTTACTTGTCAATTTCCACCATTTTGCCTTCTTGTTAAGTTTTCTAGTAAAAAATGAAATAGATGAAAATATTTTGTATAATTTATTCAATAGAATAAGATGACACTGCCGTGTTTCGAAAAGCGTTGAATGACGTTTTGAGGTAAAAATTTTAATATCTCAGATATTGAAAATTAAAAAGTAAACAGAGTTCACACAAATGCATAATAAAAACAGGATATCACAGTTCCTGGGCACACTCAAAAATAATGTCAGACATCTCTTCAGTATTTAAAATAATCTCTTATCCTATCCGTATTTACAATATAATAAATCTATGAAAATTTAACGAATCATTAGCCAAAAATTGATCGGACACCTAGCTAGAGACTAACAAAGACATCGTAAACTTAGGATTTTTGCTGCACACTGTACTTTGGTAAACATAATCCAAATTTGGTTTCGATGCCTGAGAAAATTGGCAGTGATACCGAATAACCACCTATGTGATCTGCGTTTTGGGGCTTCACATCACCCATCGTTGACACTTGCTTCAATTCAGATCCTGTCGGTCGCCTAAAAAAGAAAATTATGTTCGGTATACAATGTTGAATTTTTCTAAAACATGTTAACGCTAGATTACAAAACTAATATAATGGTGCTAAACCTTTTAGAAAGAGTATTGATGTAATAAAACCGGATTAGTGCGTTGACTAATTTGTTCTTGTAATGCCAAATTCGACAAAAAAAGAGAACTGTCTAGTTAAAGATAAGAATACGTCATATTTATACACTTTTCCAAACATTCAAGTTGTGACTTTATATTCGATATAAAAATTTAGGGAATCATTTTTGAAAGATCAAAAACTTGTAGCAGTGATACAAACCACGAAATGATATCAAAACTTGGCGATAATGTCACAACTGAAAAAAATCATTTTACGGTGGAGCAAAATTCAAGTTCTATAATAGTTTACGCATTGACAAATTACTGCAAGATACAAAATATTGAGAAAAAGTAAATACACTAAACGTATTTAGAAAGCATTACTTCAACAACAGTCCTTAAAATATAGCAACATTGGATACTTACGTTCCACCAAAATCGACGTATAAGTATCTTTGTAACAGTTCATATGTTACTAACGTTACACCAAATTGAGGGGAGGATCTCAATACACGAGCTGAAACAAATAAAATTGCTGATGAAGAAAAAAATCAACGTGAATGGAATTTTTCAGTTATTTTCAAAGAGATGACAAAATGTAGATAGTTTTCAGAAAAACTTCAGATATTAACGAATAATATTGGCCTGGTAGGATTATTGAATGCTACTCAATAACCTATTAATGTGATGACTGCCTTGCAGTTTTATTACGATATTTAGCTTAAGATAATTACAATCACAATGTCAATATTTAGAAAAAGTTATAGAAACATATTTCGTAAATAATGCCTCATATCCCACTGCTTGGGATATGAGGTAATCCAATGTTTCATTACGAGTCTTTTGAAATTTGACAAGACAAATCAAACAACTACTAGTTAAATCATATCGCTCAAAATTTGGAGAGAAATAATTTCATTTAGGTGTTGAAATATATAATGTTCCAAAGAAATTAAAAATAAATCAAAAACAACAGAATTAAAAACGGAATTGAGAAGCTGTACACTGAAAAATGACAATTAAAAGAGTCCAAACCAAGTTACGTCACGACGTTTCGATTTTTAGTATCCACAATCGTCTTCGGGTGATAAGAGTCGACCTTCAATTTTGGAACAAGCACACTTGCAGACCGGTTTCTGGCTCATTAGCCACTCGTCAGTGCAAGATAGTGGTCATCATATTCCTCTGAATAAGAAAGAAAAACTTTCTTAATAGTCAGTGGGCTATGCTTGAAGACTGGCAGTAAACAAATCTAAGATATACTTACACAGTAGGTTGACTGGCATGAACGTTTAAAGTTCATTTCTAAAGATTTGTTTACTGCCAGTCTCTAAGCATAGCTCACTGACTAATAAGAAAGTGTTTCTTCTTTATTCAGAGGAATCGGGCAAATTTCTGATATGCAGTTGGCTGGTACCTCGTCCACTAGATGGAGTGACATTTTGTTTTTCGCTCCAACTTAGGAAGAGGAATGAAATACTCTGAAAGAATTCCGATTTGCAATTATGGAATATCTTTGACTTTAGGTCGATGATGGCCACTATCTTGCACTGGCTAATGAGCCCGAAACCGGTTTGCAAGTGTGCCCGTTCCAAAATTGAAGGTAGACTCAGTTGTATTGCCAATTGCATATGCAGAAAATTTTCTGTGAAGATTCCTGCACTGTCGGATATAATCCAACACCTTTCGTGGTATTAGCCAGGGGAGTAGTTGTTTTCTGATAGGCGTCAGTCCATTCAACCTACTGTGTAGGTATATTCTACTAGAATAATGTAGCAAATGAACTAAATGCCTCAATCTGTCTGGCTGCCGTTGATTTTGGAATCAGTTTAGGTCACATATGTTGGCTTACTTATAATGATTGGAGAAAGAAACATGATTCATTAAAGTGAGTAAATAATGTAAGTGAAGTAAATGAATTAGTCCAGTTATTAGTGAGTTGATGATAAAAGTTGTCACTCAATGAATGTGTGTCAGGTATTTTAAAAAACCTCTAGATCTAACATCTTTATCCATTAACTGATACATACCATTATACAACACCTTCATCATATAGCAATCACCATAAATATAAAAACAAATCATTAGTGAAACAAAATACTAGGATGTCACAAGTTCTACCGAAAAAAACTTTCTCAAAGAATAAACTTATCATTTAATGTCCTGCTAATTATGTACCTGTTGTTCCTTTCCATAAGGCGCTGAAACCCTCCTCCATATAAATTTTTCTAGCTGCATCTAGCAATCCGCTATAAGTTGTCTGCCCCGCTCTTGCAACAACTTGTAACCTAGTTTTGATTACATCGGCAGGTGTACAAAGGGCGGCTGCAGGGATACCAGCTACTATACCAGCACCCAGCAAGGTAATCGGACTATTATATCCATTCTCATCGGCAAATTTAGCTTTCGTATGTGCATACACTGGAAAATATATACCGCTGAAAGGTATGTCTCGAAGAAAACAAGCTCGGGATCCTTTGTAAAGGCCCAAAAAGCCTAAATCTTTGACCACATTCCACGCTCTTACTTTCGCACCTCCCGCTATTTCTCCAGCCACTTGCAAACGAATTTTAACTATTTCTAGAGGATTCGTGAAAATTACTTGAGAACCTCCAGCCTGAAAAACAAAATTTTTCACAAAATATTAGTTGTTATATAATTTACTGAGAAACTTTTGTACTGTACCACAACATTCAACGAGTGAGAAACGTGTTCATTACTCGTGAGAATGAAGTTGGTCATTCGTTCAAGTAATGAACATTTATCACGAGTAGATTAATATATGTTTTCTAAAACTCATAAAAGCAATATTTCAAAATAAGAATCATTTGTAAAGAATATCCCAAATGAGAGTATTACCCTTATATTTCATAATAAGAATCATCCTAAAAAGCAATTTGAAGATACTTTCAATTTTTGTTATTTCATTCAATTTCAAATGGTTTGAAAACTAGGAGATGCACCACAGGAAAACCCTTAAGGCCCTCTAAGAGCGATGCCTATGCGAAAGTAGTGATTTACTTGGATTTGAATCGGTGGAGATCAAATCCATTTGGAAAAACGCAGTTCTCCAAATTAGAGAGTTCTTGAACAGAGAAGTTCAAGTTGTACTGAGTTGAACCTCAAAACAATGAGTAGCCACTGTGCGTCGCGTATTTCTGATATGGTGGAATCAAATGTGCCAAGTCACTTGAACACTTCCCCTGAAAGTATCTAAGAAGAGAGACAAATCTCCAACCTTCCTTCGATTGTCCAGAGTATTAAGGTTGCAAGTAATGTTCGTGTCTTCAATTGGGTGGATGGCACTTTTCTGGATGAAATCCAGCAGCTTCAGGGCGGAGCTCCATGAATGAGAATAGTACTCCAAAGGTCTGATTTAAGCTTCATGAAGCATCAAAAGTTGCTAAGGTGTGTGAAGTTTTCTGGTTCAGAATAGTGTTTCAAATTTTTGATAATCACAGTTCAGTTTCTATACTTACACAACAACCAGCTATAACCTCTCCATAAATGGGAATATTTCCGTTTTTATCCATCAATTTGTCCCTAACTAGATCATTCATCTGAAAAATAAATCAACTACCATTGAGTAAAGTTTTGATGATGTAATATTATTAATCAATTGTTCAGCATACGGAAATATTTGATTTCTTATTATATTTACAGTGTTATGGTGATTTTGAGGAAAAATCCTATATTAAAAAATGGATTTTGATATACAGAGTATTACAAGCTCAATTTTCCTTTATATGCCTAGCATATACTAGCAGTGGCGGTACTTTATTGAAGTAGATAAAGCTGATTCACAAATATTTAGAATTATCATGTATTATGTATTTACACAACAGCAACAGCAAAACCCAATAAAAGTATAGAATAAATACAGTACAAAGAAAATATCAGACTTATTGAAATAGTCTAATTGTAATAGGTATACTGTCTTAAAATATAATCTAGGTATGTATTGTATGACAATAAAGCAGTTATGATATTCAAATATAATTTGAACTACCATTTCTTTCAATACGAGTAAGTAATTTAATATGTTCGTTAAACCCTTAAAATATCAATTATTCATGCATCTCTTCAAATATAGCCTATTACTGAAGGTTTGATGAACTGTCACTGATTCCGATGCATATGAATTGTCAAATTCTGCGTTTTTCGTATTCAACCCCACTTTTTATCCAGAATATTCTGCAGTGATCTTGAATAATTCATTTCAGATATAGTACAAGTAAGAGTATAAGAAATGTTCAAATTTATTCGTGGAAAAACGGAAAAAATATTCACTAATGTTTTTCTATATTCAGAATACTTCAGGATACAATACAAATTACTGAATTTTGGAATTTTGGCAAGAAATGAAAAGTTAAGTTAGCAGAATATAATAATTCAACATTCTTATTATTAGTAGGCAATTATGTAAGAAAAAAAAGTAAGTTTAAAAGGTTAATACGCAACAAAAAGAAACATACTATAAAAATTACTAAAATGATTTCACAGATACTGGTAACAGAAGGATAAATGCCAAATTGGAACTTGATATTTTCAGTCAAAACTTACATGAGTAATAATACTAATGAATATGCTTTATTGTCTAAAGGTTGAAAGGTCGGCATATCATAAACCTTCGAGAATGAAGGTCTATGAAATATTATTTTTCGCAAAAGCACCTCTGCAAATTATCTCCTTGAAATATTGAAATGACAAAACCAATAACTGTAATTTGTAATAATCTTCCAGTTCAATTCTCAATCTTCGCAGGTTGTTTATTCAGTATCTTCAATTTTGTTTGTTTGTAGAAATGATAAAGTGATTAAATAGTTTTTGGGATTTTTCAATCTTGTTCTGCAACCTGCAACTGCAATAGCATCACAATCGATGAAGCAACGAACAGTGTAGTGTGTGTGGTGAAAACCAACAGAACACTCTATTTGTGACTTACTAGGTTTGATAATGTTGACATAGATGGAATAAAAACCTACAGACTTTGGTCATCAAATCCAGAAGATATTTTTTTTAAATAAAACAACTTACGGTCAATTTGATAGCCTTTTCAGGAGCAACACCCAGCAGTTGCGGAACAAGCCCTCTGTACAGTCCGAAGACACCTTCATGTCTTATTACTTTCTTAAAGCAATCAAAACTATTTCTGTACATCAGCTCACCAATGAAAGAGCCTGTTCTTTGATTTTGCATTCTGGTTTTCACCAAATCAATTGGGTATACAGCTGTTGCTCCAACAGCTGAAATACATTTAAGATTTGTTATACCAGGAAATGATCAATAATTATCTCAATAATAACGAAAATAAATACAATCAAGTTAAACAACTGTACTAATTTTGATTACCCTGAATTAATGAGTAGACTCACCTCCGGCTATTGATCCCAATGAAAATCTATATGTGCTCTCTAAAATTTGAATTACCACTCCTCGATCTTCAGGGCTCTAAAAGAGATAGTTTAAAAAACGCATTAAAACTCAAAATGAATATTCACAATTCGACCAAAATATTCAAGTGAAAAGTTCCTGGAATTGCAGATAGTTTCTGAACCAGTACCTCACATTCCAACTGAAGAGTTTCATTTGAATTTTCCATTCACATCAAAACTATTCTGGTACGTAAAACACTTGACAGTGACCAAATATATTTTTGAAGGTAATGTCATGTT